GATGGAAGCATTGTTTTATTGTTTACAGGTGTTGGCAAAGCAGGATATTCACACCAGTCCATGCCTTCAGTCCACAAATCATGTCAGCACCCCACAAAGTGGGGACTGTATGATGTTGATGGATGGCCAGCAGTTGTTGTCATTTTTACAGGCACATGCATTAGAAATCACCAGTATACTGAGTGACAGTTCTGGTGTTGGCAATGGAACAGAGAATACAAACAGTCCTGTGCCAGCACGTGAGAAAGCTTCTGTTGCCACAGAAATTGGCTGTTATTCTCATGAAGTACTTTTAAGCACCACCACTGAAGAAACTCAGAATCACCAGTCTGCTAGTAATGAGGTTAGTATCATTTCTCCTCTGATTACAAGTATTGTATCAGTCTAGTGCAGATTCCCTCTTTTTAGAATCAGCTATGCATTATCATCACACCCAACTTCAAACTGTTAAACTAGTCCTCAGGGTTCTACAACTGTTACATTTGCAGTGAGTTTCACCAACACTTTAGCTACAGCCATAATCAGTTCTTACATCTCAATCCATCACCAAGTGCCCCAACTAGACATGAAAAAGTTCTGAATTACCAGAATATTCGATATATTGTATATTTTGTACCTAGTTCAGTTACACATAACCTTTACTTATTTATTATGATGAACAGATTTTGTCTTATTTAGGTAATACATAGAAACATATAAGAGTTTGCCTGCAAAATGACTGATAATCTTTAAGTCTGTGCATTGAAGCCATTTTAAATGTGAGAGTGGGTGATAATACTATTGAATGTTGGTATTACCATTTAACAACAACCAGATTATGTTGTTGTTATTCTAAATTGCCAGTAATTACCCATCTGTTAAACCAGTGATCTCCAGAATGGATTCCTGGACGTTTATTAACTGTTTTCATTTCAGTTCACTGTATGCATGTTTACTGTAGGTATAGGATGTGTACACATGCATGTGTTTCCAAAAGGCAAATTGCTGTAGTGTGTATCGTAGATCTGTAAACAATGTAATGATTTTGTAATTAAGTCATTAAAATAAAAGTATACTGTTGTAAATAACTTAAAGCTAACTGTACTTAGAAGCAAAAGTGAAAGTGGATCTTAAATTCTCTAAATTACAATTCTGAAACCAGTTTTATAGAAAGACTGGTAGAAAGTGTGCCTTAAAAATAAGGGACTGGAAGCAAGAAAATTTCATAAGTATAAAAGCAACAGCTTGTTGTCTGAGTCATTAAGTGAGCTGAAAATTATCACATTCAGGTGTATCCAGCAGAAAAGTGGTAATCAGAAATCCTAGTCATGTAATACTTAAAACTTATGAGAGAAACTGAATTCATTAAATACTTTAAAAGTTATATGTCTGGGGGCCAGTTTTGAAACTTTTACTACAATATGCAGTATTAAAAAGTTCATGAAAGTGTTGGTCCGTGTCCATGGCATAGTAAAATATAGCATTTTGTGATGTATTTGTGCTATGCAGGAACTGTTGAGCCACAGAGGCCTCGGGGGATGCGCGCAACATGAGAGTTGCAGATTGTATTGGCGCATTGCTAGGTGCCAACTCTGTGAATGCTTAGATTGTGCAACAGGAAGTGCAAGTGATGTCACATATCCCCACTCATCCCGTAACTATGTAATGCTCGGTAAACACCCCTCCCCCACTAGGCTGTGACGTCATGCAGCAGAGGAGTCCATGCAGCGACTATTGCTAGGCAGTCGGTAAACACGGCAATTACCCAACAGGGAAGCGATATGTGTTTTCTGCTGTCCGGCTGAGGGTTTATAAGAGAAACTGGAATGCCTAAGCAGTGCAGTGGAAGTCTAGCAATTGCCGAGTTCAGTTGTAGCAAGTGAATTGTGAATGTGAAAAAGATGTCATAAGTTCAGTTGAAGTATAGTAGCCGTGGAAGAAGAACCGGAGACCTGATTAGAAGAGTTTATGTGTGATAATCAGTGATAGTTTGTGATAACTGAGAAGGTATTGGGAATGTGTAATTCAGTGACACTTGTATAGCTCCTGCGTTATAAATACGTGAAGACTACTGAAGATAGAGTGAAGAGATTGTTGTGTAGGGTTTGTAAAGTGCATAAACCCGTGACAGTGTCATAATTAATTGTAGTTACGACTTGTAGGTTGTTAAATAAACCAATTAACAATCCTAACAGCGTCCTCAGTAGCCAGATACCTTACACTGGTGTTAGAATTGTATATGAACTTAAACACGCCACAAGTTATGATGAATTATACTGCCGCATGATGTAAATGGAAAAATTGTTCGAATGCCTGCTGGTGAAAATTGACAAGGACAAGGAAGAAATGGAGGCCAATAGGAAGAAAAACAAAGAAGAAATGTTGATGTTATTGACATCAAAGAACCTTATTCTCAAGAAAGACAGGCGGCACAAGTTCAGCCCCCATCAGGAGAGGTGATAAGAGAGAGGACACGAACCTAATTGCGTTATAAATTCCAACTTAAATAACAGAATTTAAAAAAAAAATTAATTTATCAAGACAGCTGCTGTAGTTGTGAAAACTTTGGATTTTGTGTCAGCATTGTATGTATATATTTTAAACATTCAGAACACCTATTGTAATAGTGGTTTCCAAACTGTATCGATATTCCTCTGATGATGGTCTCTAAGGACCAAAACATGTAAGGGCATAAAGAATCGAAATAAGAAAAACTTCACCAGTCACACTGGACGGAATTGTTTTTTCTTTTATAATATTGTTAGTGTGACAGACCAGAATGAAACAAATCAAATTCATGAAGGTTGAGCATGAAATTTATTGCAGCAGTATGACAGTGTTACAAATGTGGGAAATTTGGACGCATAAATAAATTTTGTTCAAAGGAAAGCAGTGCTTCTCATGAGGAAGTGCAAAACATGAAGGACATTGTATTAAAAAATACCTAAATTGTAGCAGTGACCACAGAGCAAACAGCGAGCAATGCCCCGTAATTAAGAAACAGATAGAAGTCAATCAATCATGGCTCATAGAAATGTCGGATTTTTGGAAGCATGAAAAATTGTAGAAAAATGGTCACAACCCTGGCGGTCGAACTCTGCACTGTCTTTAGATGCTGAAAGCCACCCGAGGGTATGCTGAACCTAATATGAGGAACTTCCCCTTTCTCAAAACGCCAAGAAGATGAAAGGAGTGGGAAAATACTGAGATAAGTGATAATAGTAAAGTCCTGAGCCAACCAAATGGATGGAAAGCTGGGAGAGGGTAATGGAAGATGATCATGGGTAACAACAGGGCTCAAATATCTGAACTGGGTTCAAACAAGATTGAGCAGTATTCAGTATTACTAGATTTGATTACTGGATACAGACTGCCTTGATCTTCAATTTCAGCGGAAACATTTTCTTTATACTTCCTTTCTGATTGATCACTGACATTTGCAACACAGATGATATTTCGCTCAGTTCTGAGAACAGATGATATGCCGCCCATTGTTGTAATTGGCTTGCAGGCAATTTTTATGACTGGTCGTAAACATCGGTGTTGCCTTTCCCAAATGTTGAAATATTTGGATGTCTGAAAATTCCCGATCATTCATGAATACTTCCATGTTTAAAAGTATGTGGCTTAGTCACTGACATTTGCTACACAGATTTAGGTGTTCTGTGTCTGACGTTCTCGACACAAATATTATTCTCCTCAGAATATTTCCACTATAAAATATTTATTCATGAAAAATGCTTAGAAAATGAAAATGACAAATTCCAAAAGAGCCTCTTGCGGCCCAGTATAATTGATGCCAGGGCCCACTACTGAGCTGCGGCCCGCCGATTTAGAAGCACTGGCCTAGGCCTTTCTTCTATTTACAATAGTATTTTTCCCACAATAAAAATACTCCTGGTGGTAGATGGTTGAAACACTACAATCACCTCTTTGACGCATGACTGCCACACAGTGAAACAATTAATGTATATTATTAAAGCAGATTTCTTCAAAGTGCTGCGGGGTAAGAAACTTGCAGAAAGAGCCCTGGGAAACTGTGACAGCAGATCACTGTGCTACATCATAATATGTGCCCACATACAGCAGATTTTAGAATGATGACACTGACAGATTTCAGCTGGGGAATCATGAACCACCCTTGTTACAGTTCACACTTAGGCCCTATAGGTTTTCAGTTATTTTGACCACTGAAGGAACACCAGGGAGGGCAGATGTTCAGGAAAAAATGTGGTGAACTTAAGCATGATATCTAGAATTGGCTCAGTGGTCATGGTATGTCTCTGCTGTTGGCATCAGTACCTTGTCAAGTTGATGGCAAAAATGTACCATTGTAGGGAGGCCAATATCTTGAAAAAGAGTTATAGTTCAGTGATTCTGAGTCTAGGTTCAGCATGTTCTACATCATGGGTCACCAGCCGTTCTGTAGGTGATAGACAACTAGAACTTTATACTATATTTAACTGAAAGGAAAACAACTCAGCCCAAGATGACACGCGCTACCAATGCCACCGCCCTTGGCACCACCACCTCCACCACCACCATGATTTTGTTGACACCTGGATTCCATCTCTAAGATTTCTATTTACTTCTCCTTTGGGCCATCTTTGACCATCTCTTGTGTTGCTCAGGTTGATGAGTATGCTGTCATCACAGAGTGTTACACTGAGCCCAACAACTGAGTTTCTGAAAGCCTGTGTTTATAGAATATCAGATGTTTAAGTCTAATCAGATATTGTTCATTGTGACTCCTCTTTTGCATGTCAGTTGAAAGCACAAGATATTTTGTCTAACAGAATTATCATCTGTTTATAATTTTACAGCAGAATGCTAATAGGATGAAGGTAAAAAATTATGATCTTCAGAGGGAAGGAGACTTAATTGACATGAAAACCGATGGTCCTCGTATTGCAGCAGCATATTCTCTAAAGGAGATTAACCTGGAGGTGAGCTTAGTTTAATGTTTTTATGGTTCTTATACTTATTTAAGTCATTCTTTTTATGACATCTTATTCAGAAAATGATATCAGTTATTGAATATTTGGTATATGGGACATTTAATTAACAATTGTGGCACAGGACCAGGTTGTGTTGTCATTTAAAATTACAAGGTGCTGGATGTCAGAAGGTATTTATTACAGTTTTGTATTATGAGTTTCTGGGCTTTGGTCATGCTCAAATATTACAGACAAATGAGTTTAAGAAAGTGGATCTGTTTCCATGTAATAAGAAGGTTGAATGAATGTATAAGGGGTGATCCTTCTTGGTCCTTGCACCGTGACCACAGTGATCTATTGTGCCCCCCTTCTGATCACCCCCTCAACAATCCCGCACTTCGAATGAAGCATACGATTTTGTACGTGGGGATGTTGAAATAGTCACTTGGTTCCATAGAATATTCACCCAAGTGATGCAATCTTAAATATACTAAGTCCTCACACTCGCACAGGATATGTGTGACTGTTTCATTTTCTTCTTGACACCTCTCACAAGTTGGACTATTATTTACTCCCAGTTTGGCCACGCCATGGCTCAAGTGGTTAGTCACTGGCTTTCCACTGCGGTGGCCCGGGTTTGATCCCTTGTCTGGCCAAGTGGGATTTGTGGTGGACAAAGTGGCACTGGGGCAGGTGTTCTCCAAGTACTTCTGTTTCCCCTGCCAATCTTCATTCCACCAATTGCTCCTCAATCACCCTCACCTATCATCTGGTGCTGGTACAATAGGCCTGAAGTGGCCGCAGTACAAGGGACTTAGTCCCACCCCACTAGCAATAAAAAAAATGGTCCCAGTTTGTAGAGGTGTACTTTGAGGTGACAGTGTTCTGTAAGTAGTCCTACCATCCATCGTAGGTGGTTCCTGTTTAACTTGAACAGTCCCTTCGCTCTTTTAGTAGAGGGTCCTCGTATCAGTCCCTTTGCTTTCCTGAGTCCAGTCAAGGGTCCCCAGTATTTCTTATGTTTCATGTTAGTCCACTCCCTGATTGCCTGTTTGGCAACTTCTAAAGAGATGTCACAGGCTGGTTCAGGTCCTATGAACGGATGTTGAGCTCCAGTCTTGGCAAATTGGTCTGCTATTTCGTTTCCAGCAATACCCTCATGCCCCGGCACCCATATCAGTTGTACCCTGTTATGTTTGGCCAGTTCCATGAGGGTTTGGTGGCAATCCCTGACCAATTTTGAATTAATCTGGTGTTTGTCAAGTGCTGTGAGTGCTGCTTGGCTGTCAGATAGAATGTAGGTGTTCCTATTTCTATAGTTCCTATCTAAATTCTCCATAATACATGCTTTAATGGCATATACTTCTGCCTGGAATACTGTCGTGTATCGCCCAAGGCTGAAACTAAGTTTCCACCTCGTACCATGGCAGTACACACCAGCTCCAGTGCCTCTGTGTGTCTTGGAACCATCTGTATACCACATCAGTCCCCATTTTTTGTCAGGCTGAAACCCGTTTTCCCATTCACTCCTTTCAGGAAATCTGACTGTGAAGGGTTTTTCATATACATGTCTCAGTATCATTTTGTCAAACCCCATTTGTAATATGGGTTCACTTCATGTCCTGAGTTATGTATGCATGTCCGAACCTATCGGATTTAGGTTTCCAGGAGATGAGGAATACGTATAGGATATTGGTGGGAAAGCCAGAAGGAAAGAGACCACAGGGAAGACCAAGGCGTAGGTGGGTGGACAATATTAGAATGGATCTTAGAAAGATAGGATGGGATGGTATGGATTGGATAGACCTGGCTCAGGATAGGGACCAGTGGAGGGCTTTTGTGAACACGGTGATGAACCTTCAGGTTCCGTAAAATGCTCGAAATCCTTGAGTGGCTGCAGAACTGGCGGCTCCTCCAGAAGGACTCAGCTCCATGAGTAAGTAAGTAAGTAGTTAGTTAGTTAGTTATTGGAGAGGGTGGGNGGTATTTATAATGCTTCCCCCATCTACTGTTGGGCGGGAAATGTCCTTGAATTTAGCTCAGTGACCTCCTTTGGAGATATGAGGTTCTTTTACATGCCGTAAAGCTGCGACACGGGACCCACGGCTTAAAGTCCCTCCCGGAGGACTTGTTCCCTGATTTTTTCCGCCCTTAAAAATTCCGCGACCTTCGCCGGGTTTGAACCCGCGTAACACGACTCATGAGATGGGAACGTTACCTCTAGACTACGGAGGCCGCTAAGTAAGTAAGTAAGTATTGATCACTGCACTGGAGACGGTAGGTTCCTGCCCTGGCCTCTGCCTTCAACTGTATATGCAGTGGGGGGAGTCCAAGGAGTGTCTTCAGTGCAGCTGTTGGAGATGTTCGAATTGCTCCTGTGATACCCAAGCAAGCCAACCTTTGCACTTTGCTAAGTTCTGCCTTGCTTGTATTGGGTTTAACTTTGGGCCACCATACTGTGGCACTGTATGTAATTATGGGTGTTACAACCACAGTGTATATCCAATGCACAACATGCGGCTGCAGTCCCCAAGTTTTACCAAACATGCTTCTGCATGTCCAAAAAGCCTTATAGGCTTTGTTGATGACCTTGTCCAGCTGCTTTTTCCATGTCAGTCCCTTGTCTAATACTAGACCAAGGTACTTGACATCACTGGAGAGCTGAATTGTCTTATTGAAGAGGGTCGGTTCCTTAAGGCCCTGTATATTTCTCTTTTTGGTAAACGGTATAATTACCATCTTATTATGATTGATGAAAAGGCTTGTTCTTTCACACCATCGTTGGACCGTGTTCAGAGCTGTTTGAAGATGCTCTGATACTGTTGAAAGGAATTTTCCGTTTATGAGGATTGCTATGTTATAAGCATATCCTACTGTATAATACCCATCATCATTAAGTCCCCACAGGAGATCGTCAACGACCAGGCTCCACAGCAGAGGCGAGAGCATGCCCCCCTGCAGACACCCCCTAGACAAAGACGTCCCCAGGGTCTCCTGATAGTGTGGCAGCTATGGTTCTGCTATCCAGCATAGCACTGATCCACCTGCATATTGCAGGCTCTATGCCATGCTTTCCAGCGGCCTGTTTGATTGTATCAAATGAGGATCTGTTAAAAGCTCCCTCTATGTCAAGGAATGCTCCTAAGGCAATATCCTTGTGTTCAATTGCACACTTTCTATTTGTGTTACCACATTATGTAGTGTGCTTTTGGTAGATTTACCTGGTTGGTAGGCATGCTGGTTTCGGTGTAGAGGATATGTCCTCAGCGCCCCGTCCCTGATATGCCTATCCACTATTTTCTCCATCATTTTCAAAAGGAAAGACGACGGGCTGATAGGGCGATAAGCCTTAGCCTCGGAGTAATCTAGTTTCCTGGGCTTTAGGATAAATGTCACTTTAACTTGCCTCCATGCCATGGGGATAAAACCATATGCCATGCAGGCTCTATATATGAGGTATAGATGTGGAACTAAGAGTTCTCCCCCTTGCTGCAAAAGTGCTGGTACAATTCCATCTGTTCCCATCTGTTCTGTATTCAGTGCGCATCAGATTTTTGATTGGTTAATTATTACTTTGGGCAGGTTCCAGTGTACCCTGTTTGTCTTGCTTTGGCAAGTGCGCAGGTTTTGCTGACCCTGCCCATCGTCCAAATTATCAATCAATTTTTCAATCAGGAAAGTGAACCCTGAATAATTCATTCAGTGTCTCCCTTCCTGTTTGAGTATACTGCCGGTTGGGCAGCTTAATCGTAATGACCTTGTTGGTGGCCTGTTTTGCCATGATTGTCATGAGTCTGGCACCGCCTGGTACATCATTGATCTCTTGGCAGTGCCTCCTCCATGAGGATCACTTGGCTTTCCATATTTCTTTGTTGTAACAGGTAAGGGCTTCCTTGTAGGTGTCCCACTGCCCTGTTCTTATAGCTGTATTAAACAGCCTTCTCATTTTGGTTCTGAGGCCACTCAGCTGTTTATTCCAACAAGGCACTCTCCTTTGTTCATGAGTGGTCATAGCTGGACAATTCCTATTAAAGGATGAGATAATAGCCCGTTGCAACTGGTCAACGGATCGATCAACATCCTATAGGCCCTATAGGTTTTCAATTATTTTGACCACTGAAGGAACACCAGGGAGGGCAGATGTTCAGGAAAAAACGTGGTGAACTTAAGCATGATATCCAGACTTGGCTCTGTGGTCATGGTATGTCTGTGCTGTTGGCATCAGTACCTTATCAAGTTGATGGCAAAAATGTACCATTGTAGGGAGGCCAATATCTTGAAAAAGAGTTATAGTTCAGTGATTCTGGGTCTAGGTTCAGCATGTTCTACATCATGGGTCAACAGCCGTTCTGTAGGTGATAGACAACTAGAACTTTATACTATATTTACCTGAAAGGAAAACAACTCAGCCCAAGATGACACGCGCTACCAATGCCGCTGCCCTTGGCACCACCACCTCCACCACCACCATGATTTTGTTGACACATGGATTCCATCTCTAAGATTTCTATTTACCTCTCCTTTGGGCCATCTTTGACCATCTCTTGTGTTGCTCAGGTTGATGAGCATGCTGTCATCACAGAGTGTTACACTGAGCCCAACAACTGAGTTTCTGAAAGCCTGTGTTTATAGAATATCAGATGTTTAAGTCTAATCAGATATTGTTCATTGTGACCCCTCTTTTGCATGTCAGTTGAAAGCACAAGATATTTTGTCTAACAGAATTATCATCTGTTTATAATTTTACAGCAGAATGCTAATAGGATGAAGGTAAAAAATTATGATCTTCAGAGGGAAGGAGGCCTAATTGACATGAAAACCGATGGTCCTCGTATTGCAGCAGCGTATTCTCTAAAGGAGATTAACCTGGAGGTGAGCTTAGTTTAATGTTTTTATGGTTCTTATACTTATTTGTGTCAATGTTTATTTATAGTACAAGTCATTCTTTATGTGACATCTAATTCAGAAAATGCCATCAGTTATTGAATTTTTGGTATATGGGACATTTAATTAACAGTTGTGGCACAGGACCAGGTTGTGTTGTCATTTAAAATTACAAGATGCTGGGTGTCAGAAGGTATTTATTACAGTTTTGTATTATGGGTTGCTGGGATGTGGTCATGCTCAAATATTACAGACAAATGAGTTTAAGAAAGTGGATCGTTTGCATCTAGTAAGAAGGTTGGTAGGCACCTTTAAACTTGAATTCAGTAGGAAGAGATGATCTGAGTGACTGGGAAACCTGAGCTGTTAGGTTGTGGGTGAATATAAGATTAAGTGTCTGTACTTATTGGCTGCACCATCAAAGGTATGAACTGTGTGTGCTTGCTTGAATGCTGGGATTGTGGGTTTGAATCCCACTCAAGGCATGGATGTCTGTGTTTATTCTGCATTTCTATACGTATCAGCACTGCGATGGGCTGATCCCCTGGCCAAGGAGTCCTATTGACTGTCTTAGGATTACAAGGGGGGGGGGTAGGTGCCATTGATATACATGTGTGTCGCTAAGGTCACCATGGCCTTTTCTCTCTGAACTGTTTTTGAGGTTCAAGATATTCAATTCATGTAATTCAATTCAGGATCCTTCTCAGATAAACGCATGAAGATATGTTGAAGTAAAAACAATCTATTAGAAACTAAAGCAAGAAGACTTGACAGTGAATTCAGCTTTTCCAATATCATTAAAAGCAAAACTGGCTGATCTGTGGAAAATGTAATTGTCCTGCAACTATTAAAGAATTTGATTTTATTAGTGTCTCTTGAATGACCGCTTCTGTGGTCTAGTGGTCAGAGTTCCTGGCTACAGATCCAGAGATTCTGGGTTTCATTCCCAGCACTACCAGGTTAGTGATAAGTAGGAGATCTGGAAAGGGGTTCACTCAGCCTCGTGAGGATAATTGAGGAGCTATTTCAAGGAAATACTGGCTCTGGTCTAGAAAAGAGAGATTAATGGCCGTGGGGATCTGTTCTGACCATGTGACACCCTTTCCCTGCCAAAGTTGGCACTAACTTCACTGACAAGTGGCAATTGCTCGGTTGGTATAGTTTGCTTGCTGGCTTCAGGCCACACAGTTTGTTTTGTTTTGAGTGTATCTTGAATTGCTGGCACTAAGGAACCAATAGATTTTATTTTACTGTGTTTGCCAATGACCAGTTCTGTAGACTAACTGTAAGAGACACTTAACAGTTATGCCATAGAGGTATTTCTGTCTCGAGTTTGGCACAACCTGAGAAACTTGCCGAACAGGCTCTATTCGTGTGGGGTGGTGCTCATAAATTTCATGGTTCAGTATCCCAGGGTTCATGAATTTTGTTTCAGCACATGCCTTTGTCACATATTTCACCTCTCTGAGCTTTATGTGTGAAAGAGATAAAAAAAAAGGAGTCTGATATTTTCTTTCTCAGAGTTGTTTGTATTCGTTTTTGGGCAGCCACAGTTCTGCGTAGAGTGTTAGACATTTAATTGTGTAATCAGCTGTTGTTCATGCTCTCTCCTGTTTTGCATGTCTGTTGCAAGCATATGATGTGTATCATTTGCCAGAATTATCATATTTTTCTTTTTACAATTTTACAGCAGAATATTGATCAGATCAAAATAGAAAACAGTGTTGATAATCTGAACAAAGAAGATTTCATTCACATAAAAAGTGAAGAGATTTGTACACCTTCAGCATTTTCTGTAAATGAGATCAAACCTGAGGTGAGCCTAGGCTTTAGATATTTTTATCACTCTGGTTCCTGTATGGGCTGTGTTTCTTTTCAGACTATTATTTCTGTGAGATGGTTATAAGGAAGCAGAAGTGCTGCAGGTTCATGATATACCTCTGCAGTACTATGTTTAGGCCTGTCAAATCAGAATAACACAGAAATGCTTCTTCACACCAGTAAATAAATAAGGCCTCCAATTACTTGTAAATAAAGATTGAACATTGAAACATGTTACAGAATCAGAGTCACTTATATAGTCATAATAAAAGTGAATAAGTAATTTGAAGGTGTGCTGTGTTTTGTATGTGTCAAGGGAATTGCACTCATCAAGATATGAGGGCTGGAACTTAATAGTGGCAACTATTTATTTACAACTGATACAAAATAGATGCATGTTTCGAAGTTTTACTGTCCTTCAGCGTAGTCACCAGCATTATGTACAACCCATTGCCAGTGATGTGGAAGTCGTAGGATACCTTTAGCAGCACCTGTTGTGGTCATAGTTTAAATGGAGCAGTCTACTGCCTGAAGCTTGCCTGGAACAGTTCTGAAGCAAATGCCATGAAGTGGTTCCTTCATCTTAGGAATCAAGTAGAAATCACAAGGGCTTAAGTCCGGGGAGTATGGTGGGTGGTACAGCACTTCTCAGCCCATCGATCAAACAAATCAGCCACAGCTTGTGATGCATGCGGCCAAGCATTGTCCTGCAAAATGATGGGTGGGTTTTGCAGAAAGTCACCGCTTATTTCTCAAAACTAGTCACAAGTTGTGTTCCAAAAATGAATAGTAATACTGCTAATTGATGGTCTGCTGTCTTGGAACGGTATGCGTTAGGATAACACCATCATAGTCGTACACGAGAATCACCATAACTTTCACAATGCTGGGGTTCTGACGAACTTTTGATTTTCATGGTGACTCGTAATGACACCATTCATTCGATTGGCGTTTCATTTGTGGCTTGTACAATTTGGCCCATGTCTCATCCAGCGTAATGATATGGCGTAAGAAAGCCTCTCCTTTGTGCTCATAGCGCTCCAAGTGTTTACGAGCAATGTCGTTTCATAGCCATTTCTGCATTTCCGTCAAATCATGCGGAACCCAACGTGATGCAATTTTTCTCATGCCCAGGCATTCCTTCAGAATGTGAAGTGCAGTCATATGCGCTAATCATGTCTCTCGGGCCAGCTCACGAATCATATGACGTGGATCACTCTCCAGTAATGCAGAAAGAGCATAGAATTCTTCACTGACACTAGGACGACCTGGCTGATGCATGTCTGCCACATTTTGATGTCCCTCATTGAAGGCTTTTATCCACTTTGCCACTGGTCTATAAGGCAATGCAGTTTCTCCGCAAGCCTCTTGAAGACCTTGATGACACTGTTGTGCTATACAGCCTCTGGCACATTCAGTCTTTATCCGTATCTGTTGTTCCTGTTTCAAAAACATCGTCACAACATTTCATTAGACTGCCAGCTAACATGAAGCTCTGTTCTTCTCATTGCGCATGCGCGTGATATGGGAAGGGAGAGTCCAATTGTTCTGAGGTAAGGTAAGGATGTAAGTAGCCTGTGGTATAAGTGACATTAATTGGTTCCATTGCATGGCGTCTCTACAGCAGTGTTGCCACTATTCCAACCCTTTTATTTGAACAGTAGCAGTAATTTCAGTGAGCACTTTCTGTTACTTTTCATTTAACCTCTCAGGGCCTAACAAAATATTCTAGACTCTGTCTAGTATGTCCACTGTCCCCCATTAACTCATTTTAAGTGTGTTGTTTTCTTATCTACAAGAAAATAACACACACTTCATAACTTGTACTCTTCTCCAAGTGTAATTAGAATGATTAAGTCAAGGAGGATGAGTTAGCATGTAGCATGAATGGGGGAGATGGGGTATGCATATAGGATATTGGTGGGAAAGCCAGAAGGAAGAAAACCACTGGGAAGACCAAGGCATAGGAGGGTATCAATATTAAGATGAATCTTAGATAAGATGGGATGGTATGAATTGGATTGATCTAGCTCAGGGTAGGGACCAATGGAGTGCTTTTGTGAACACAGTACTGAACCTTCAGGTTCCATAAAATGCTGGGAAATTCTTGAGTAGCTGCAGGTTTGTCTTCTCCTGAAGAAGGGCTCAGCTCCATAAGTATTTTTTTATTCACAGAAACATTGAAAACTTCTAGTTACACGTTCCTGGAACATTTGAATTGTTGAGCCTATTGAAAGAATGTAAATTACAGTGATAAAATACTTCTATTGTGTAAAATAGAGAGAATAACAAGAAAAATCATGAGATTAAAAATACTGACAAAAATCTTGCCTGGAGGATGTGTTGGTGCTTGAGAATTAATTGTTATGGGAAGAACATAGATTGAGGGAGTTTGAGGACTAAGTGTTTAGGAGAATATTTGACATAGGACGAAAAAATGACAAGGGCCTGGAGAGGGTTGCATAAGGAGGAGCTTCATAATTTGCAATTCCCTTTATATGGGATGGCCCAGGAGGAAAGGTCAGTATTGTGGGAGGTCATAGTATTGGTCAGTCTAAGCAAAAAGAGTGTATATGTACGAGGTGTTATTGGAAGGTTCCCGGAGTTATACTGTTGTAACTGCCTCGGTGAAAGAAGATGAGAATGGAGGCCAAGGTCACACTTCCGCAAACAGATTGCGTCAAGTCTGCCATGTGACACCACACTGTTGAACACACATTGTTTTACGTGAGTGTTTTTTCAACTTTGTGTTTCATCTTGTCTGCATTGGATGCCAAAATAGAGCAATGTGTCTGCATAATGTTTTGCATGAAGCTCTGTAAATCTGGTACCAAAACCCTTGAAACGCTTCCTGAGGCTTTTTAGAATAGGCTGGACAGTGGTTTTCGAATGACATTCATGTATGAAGGCCGATCGAACATCAGTTGAAGATGACAAACGTTGAGGAGAACCAAGCACCAGCAGAACAACAGAAAATGTTGAAAAAATACGACAGATCAACAATGAAGACTGTCTCCAGAGAATCCATGAGGTCGCAGACACCATTGGGATCAGTTATGGAGTTTGCCAGGAAATGTTAACAAAAAGTTTGAACATACAGTCATGTTTTCTTTCTATAATGTGACAGTATTAATTTAACAACATTAATTCACACTTAATTCACTAAATGTTCGATAAATATTTAAAATGTCATCAAAATTATTATTTAAACGCATATACTCACTGTGTACTTGATCAATAGTATTCATTAAGGCCTGATGTCATTGTTATTGTTAACTTTTTTGTATTCAAATATTGTTGGATAATTTTCTTCCTATCTTATATATTGTGGCTATTTTCATGTCAAAGAAGTAAATAATAATAACAATGATGTGCCTTAATGAATATTGTTGACCAGGTACACAGTGCAGTAGACCTTAGAACTTGAATGCCCCTCGTATAGTACAGTGGAAACCCTCATATATTATTTCGTTGGGGATTGAGGGGCTTTGAACACTGGCTGAAGAAGCCCTTTATTTAGGGCTGAGATTATTGACTTGGGGTCATTTAAACTGAATGTTAAAGGAAGAAAATCTTCAGTTGGGGTTCGACTGTATGTATTATTAAAGCGATATTCTTAGTAATGGTATTGAAAACTCGTTCATTACAACCTTTTCAGTTCGACATAGTGCGAAATGTTTGTAATGGAAGTGTACCACATTACATGTAATGAGCGACCACAGTGATGATTTGATAAGGACTTGGTGATTTTACAGATCTCAACAGATGTAGTGGAAGTTGGACCTGCTTTGTACAATGAGAGATGTCTAGCATCTTCTTGTGATCGGTATGAGGCGACTGGTACTAAAGTTGAGCAGATCTCAGATATTGAAGATGATGATGAACCCGTGTTGGTAGTATATTCATCAGTGAAGGCTGAATGTAAGGTGAGCTGTATGTTGGTATATCCATTGTTAGGGGTATATTTCATAGATATCCAGAATTGCCTGTTTGCCTTATTCATCTTTGTGTGTCTGGCTCTTTGCATAAAATGACAATGTTCGATAGATTTCAAAGAGATTATTCTAAAATGTGTGTAGAGAACTGGTTTTTGTTGTGCATGGCTTGCTTATTTTAGTGCTGAGCACTGATAGATTCTTCTCTCAAGAATCTAGCCAGAGTTAACCTTCTGTTGCCAGTAAGCTTTGTTTTTACAGTATATCCTGCCACTGAATTCTCAGAATCTATGAAGATTCCAGGACTGTCATGTATCAGTTTTGTAACTTTAATACAGTCTCTAACCATTAAGGACAATTGTCATTACTGTCAAGGATCTGCCTCTGAGTCCATCAGAAACATCCCTGAGGGGTGCAAGATACTTCAGCTGGTCAGTCATATGAAAGAAAACTGCTGTGTGCTCAACAAGATTCCAGTTTGATTCCTTTCACAATAGAGAGTACTCACTCATGTGGCTGAGCCCTTCTTGAG